AAGTCTGGCTTGCAGTCTCTCTTCAGAGAAAGTCCTAGACCCTCTTCTAAAAGTCTGGAGTGATATGGGAAGGCCCAGGAGGGATAATCTCCCTTTCTTTAACTCAGAGTCAACTGATTAGGGTTCTTCATTATACCTACAAAACCATTTCACTTTTGCCATGGAAGAAATCATAGCCATGAGTGTGACAGCCCAGCAGTATTCTATTGGTTAGAAACAATTCATGGATTTTGCTACCACTCAAGGGTAAGGGATTATACACAGCATAAAAGCAGGATTAGAGATTACAGGCACCAACACAAAATGTTACCTACCATCATCAAGGTCCAAAATACAGAACTTCCATATTAAATCCTAATAGAAAAACGATAAATCATGTCTGACTGATTGTCTCTGAGAAGAAAGTGAGGGAAATTTATACACCTGCTCTAAGAAAATCACTTAAGTTGGAAAACTTCCAATTTTCAACAACAAACTATGATACAATTCTGGGTAGATAGTATTATTAGTCATTTTTTTCTTATTTTAATGAAATAGCTGAAAAAGCTATAATGACAAAGGGATTCTTAGCTCAGTTAGGAAAGTTCCAGTAAAAGATGAAGTGGCCCCAATGACTTGGGACTCTACAGGGTGGTGGATGACAATGGCAGAGTAAGGGTCAGGGAAGGACCACATGGGAAACCAAAAACAGAGTGACTAAGGTCGACTTTGCCTTCATAACCAATTTGTCCTTTTAAAACTCCTTCAGGTTGCATGCTCCTGTGCCCTGAGGATGTCCCAGAGAGGCCTACCTCCAAGATCAAAAATTAGATTGAGTTTCCACACCCTTAGCACCGTTAACTTAGATGCTTTGGGGCATTAAAATCCAGTATTCACTCAGGAGCCAAATCATGCTCAGACCACAGCACTCGTAAACAAATCTTGTCACAAGCTAATCTCTTACTGTGGACATTGATACATGTGATACTGAAATAACAAGCATCATGTTTCTTGTTCTGAAATGACTAAAGCAGTTCATATAGTTTTACTCACATTTGAACTCTGTTGGAATAAGACTTAAAATGTTAAATTCCAGAAGGAAATCTTCAGGTAGGATCTCAGATGCTACTGAGCAACCTAGTTGTCATAAGGACCCAGGATCTAGAATTCCTCTAGTTTACAAGATTCTCTGGTTTCTGGAAACACACAATGAATCAGCATGCTGCCAAAATCCACAGAGTCCATCACTAGTATTTAACATGCAGCTTACTTTTACATTTCAGGTATCTTTTCATTTTCATGGTATAGCAGAATAGTAGGCCATGGCATGTAAGTGTAGGGAAGAAGTCCCAACATGAATAAAAAATGTATTTCATTTCTGGAGCAAACTTGATTACATGAACGCATCTTGCATTTTCTTGCCTCAGAAGAGCAATCAGCATATTGATGTCAAACTTGGGACCCCCATAATCTGCTGAGCCTAACTCTGCACATGCCCTGTCAGCTGGACCCTCCATTGTCTTCTCTAATCCAGAAACACCTTATACAAGCTGCACACAAGATCTGGGTGAGGCAGGACCAGCCATCATTGGTCCAGAAGAAACCCTTATAACTAGCAACTAAAGCAAGGGTCTTCTCCCAGGCATAGTGCCCCAAATCACAGGATCAGTCTGAGCCACTGAGCTCCACGGCCTGAAGCATATTTCTTTCAGATGCTAGAGCAGTGATTATTTTTTGGAAGAAAGAAGCATTATGATTCTAAGACTATTTACAGCAAGAGAACCAATGCTAGAAATGCACATGTAATAAAGATGAAAAAAATATTAACAAGACCTTCCAAGTAGATAGTATATTAAAATAACATCAATTTGGGGCACACAGCTCCATATGATTTCCAAACACAACCATTTGCCATCTTTACAAACATTATCATAATATCATTCTAGTCTTAGGTACCTGTAGTCCTCAGAGATATGTGGTTTTTTAAGGATTTTGCATATTGGAGTTATTACACTAATTTGTAAAAAATCTACCTAATCTGTTATAATGATCTAGAGAAATGTCTCTGATGTACCATTGTTAAGCAACTTTCTCCTCCCCTCACCGCCACTGGTAAGAGTTTATGTAGTACCCCATTTATAACTGTTTCAATGTACAGCTGCTGAGGGTCAACTTGGAAGATCATCACAATGAAACATACCAAGTAGACTCAGCAATGAGGCCAAATGATGTAACATGTCTGAGTCAGAAAGCATGACAAATGAATACTTTTGAATACTGGAAGGCTCAGCCTGTCTCACAAAGAAAACCCCCTCAATACCAGAGCAAATAACTTTCTCCTGAGGCTAAATATGGCATGCAGTAGGGTTTTTGAGCATAGGGGTTATGCCTTTATTAAGATATAAGCATTTTATACCACACTTTGACTGCACATAGTTGAATTGGGCGGGGCACTAAGAGGACTCAGGTTCATTTGAATTCATGTAAACAATGCATGGGTTCTACTGTCCCAAGGCTTCCATTCAGATGACTAAAGTCATGGGACTTGCAGCATAGCTGGCTGATGACAGTGCATACTATGTTGTCCCTAAATCTAGTTCAGGCATGGACATACCAATTAGACTGCAACCATTTAAAGGCAAAGGACCAGCAATTGTACAAGTCTTGGTGTACAGCAAAATATCAAGAAGGTTTTTTGAACTGAAGTTAAATGTGAACTGTCAGTGCATCCAATACACTGGACTGCAGGATTCTGAGATGCTGTTTAACCTTTACATCCTGTTCAGCTCAGTAAACATCCACTGTGCTTCTCCTACACACAGACACTGGGCTAGCCGCTGAGGTCGAGACCACTGTGATCACGTTCGCTGTTGTCAAGAAACTCACCAGGCTCCTCAGCTCTTTGTCAATGAGCTGTAACCAGCACTCCCTCCCCTCCCCAAAGCACCTCTAAAATCTAGTGGATAGAACCCACACGTTTCGCAGAGCGCTGTTCAACAATCTGCAAGCGATGACTCAGGCCAGGTTGTGTAATTCAAGTTTTGTCTGCAAAACTGTAAATGTTGGAGCCAATTTTGTGGTGCAGTGAGTTAAGCCACCACTTGCAACACTACTATCCTACATGGTCACTGCTTTGCGTTCCAGTTGTTTCACTTTTAATAACGCTCTCTGCTTTTTTAAAATAAAATGCACCTGGGAAAGCAGTGGAAGATGGCCCAACTACCTGGAGCCCTGTACCTACATGGGATACCTGGAAAGAGTTCCAGGATCCTGGCGTCAGTCAGCCAGCCCTGGCTGTTGCAACATTTCAGGAGTAAACCAGCAGGAAAAAAAAAAAGCCTAAAATGTTTCAGTGTCCACCTGAACTTCAATGCTGAGAACTTCTTTAACAAAGACTAGACATGGCAGCAATAAACATGAGCCCTCTTACACTCTTACACCACCTACACCACCGCTCTGTTCCTGAACTCCTTTGCATTCCTTGCATTGTCACTTACTGACAACATAATTAGGGACAGAACGCAAAATGGTAGCCCCAATAAATAAGCCAAAAACACATCTATCACTTCTTTTTCTACTAGGTGAAGAGAGTTGGAGAATGATTTTTCCAGGATGATGCAAATGAAAAGGTGCAGAATTTCTGTGGACCCTTGCAAAAAACTACTTCTCTGACCTCCGACAGAACAGTGACCTTAATAATGTAGCCAGTGTTTTGAATGCAAACATTCAGGAGGCATGCTCACCAGGTCGAGCGACTTCAGTACATTCAAGAACTGTGTTTGTATTTTGCATAAATGCACAAAGCAAAGGGAGGGATTTTCAAACTAATCCGTGAAAAATTCTAAGACATTAAACTTTGTTTTCCAAAAATGTGTTCACAAAACGTGTTGACTGCCGGTCTGCCTTCCACCTCCAAGTTGCCATTTTCTCAAAGGTGAAGTTTCAGCATATGACTAAAACGACCTGTGAGCTACAGCTTCATGATTCAGCATTTAAATATCAATAATTCACGGTGAGCTCACAGGCTGCCTGTGGAAGGTAGTGACACACTCACTTGCCTGATCAAAGGAAACTGAGGACATATGGAGGCAGCATTTTGAACTTAGAGCCGAGTTTGTGTGGGCGTTAGATGCGCGTCCACACCGGGGAGGCTAGTGCAGGAGGTGCCTCCTTTGCGAGGGGCTCTTTGAGAGTCGCCAGGCCACGACTCACGCATGCGGTCGCCAGCTCCCCACAGATCCCAACCAGCCCTGGAGGTCAGAGTCCCACTGGGCGGGTGGGTGCTTTTTCTGCCTTCTGCGGAAAAGATGCCAACTTGGTGCCCTGCCATGCCTGAACACAAATGTGCTTGTTCTTTTTAGTGCTTCCAAACTCTTGCAACCTTCTAAAAATAAATCAAACCGGCCTACAGGCCACCGAAATAATACTACTACTAATAAGCAGCTTTGCTTAGACTTGGATAAACAACACTTCTGAGGTAAACTTTGCCGCACAGGTTTGGACAGATGGACTTTTTTTTTTTATGTAACCAACTTAGTAATAATTATTATACTTGGGTGCATGAACCCTAGGAATAGATTTCAACAGCAACCCTTTCAAACAAAAGACATGAAACCATTTTAAAATGTGCACCAACAAGAAAAACACTTGGCAGCCTGCTCCAGTCCCAGCTGAGGACGCCTGCCGCCACCACAAAGCCCTCAGCCGCAGACCGCCCCACCAACCCGGGTAAGAGCCGGCTCCCGACCCGCCTACTGGTGCGCGCCCTGCCCGGGTCCGCCTGGGTCGCCTCCGCGCGGCTCCTCCCCCTTCCGCTCCCAGCAGCCGGGTCGAGTGGCCAGGACCAGGCTGATTTGCATAGCCCAATGACCGGGCCGTATGCAAACGAGGCACGAGATGGTTGGCTGAGGGTTGGTCGGATAACTGCGGCCGGCGCGGCCCTTTGTCCTCCAGTGGCTCGGTGGCAGCTGCCTGGCTGGAGCGGCGGTCCCTGGCGAGGCGCGGGGCTGAGCGGGCGAGCGAGCCGGGCGGGAGGCGAGGACGGGCGGCTGGCGCTGGAGGCGGAGCCGGGGCGCACCGAGTCGGAGCTCCGCGCGCCGCGCCCGCGAGGGAGTGCAGAGAGCAGGCGCCCGCGCGCCCACGGTGGCAGCAGCCGCCCGCACGCCGCGCGCTCTCAGTGAGGGACCTGCAGTTGCAATATGACTTTGGAGGAATTCTCGGCTGGAGAGCAGAAGACTGAAAGGTAAGTCGGCTGCTGGCTTCTATCAGCTGAACTCCTCCGGCTTTGCCGCGTACCTCTCTGAACTCGGGCTATGGAAAGTGTGCGGGCAATCAGGCTGCAAAGTTTGCACAGGACTCCTCCTGTCCTGGCTCCCTCGGGGACTCTAGCCTGGGCGCTCGCCGACTGAAGACGCGTGCCCCTAACTCGGTCGAACCCCCTGGGACCTTTGCTCAGCGCAACAGTTTGGGACCACGTCCTTGGCAGAGTGCGGTGTCGAAGGTGGGGAGGGACTCTCGGGGCTTCTCAGTGGACGCCAAGCTGCTACGTGTGCCGTGGAGTCGTGGGGGCTGACGAGGCGGGAGACCCTCGGTTTGCAGACAGTCTGGGTGTGTGGTGGCGCTAGCACTTGGAAGAGGAGGGGGCTACGACAGCTCCCAGGTCGCAGGCTGACATGTCCTCTCGCTCTTGCCCGCCTGTAGGATGGACAAGGTAGGGGATGCCCTGGAGGAGGTGTTGAGCAAAGCCCTGAGTCAGCGCACCATCACCGTTGGGGTGTACGAGGCGGCCAAGCTGCTCAACGTGTAAGTCGGGGTCCTTTGCCCTCTCCAGCCCGCTGGGGTCGCGCTCCCGAGCGCCCCTCGCCCTGCGGTGCTGCTGCCTGCCTCCCGCCATCTGTCCCCACGGCGGGGTAGGGGTTGGGATGGGGAGGTCCGGGACCCAAGCGGGAATTTCGAAGGTGCCTGTGCGCTCACCGTCCTGTGCGCTGCCCCCCTCTCCCCTCGTAGGGATCCGGATAACGTGGTGCTGTGCCTGTTGGCGGCGGATGAGGACGACGACAGGGACGTGGCTCTGCAGATCCACTTCACCCTGATCCAGGCGTTTTGCTGCGAGAACGACATCAACATCCTGCGCGTCAGCAACCCAGGCCGGCTGGCCGAGCTGCTGCTGCTTGGGCCGGACGCCAGCCCGGCGGCCAGCGAGGGCGCCACGCAGCCCCCGGACCTGCACTGCGTGCTGGTGACGGTAAGGGGCCAGGGGCACCACGGGCCGGGCCGGGCCGGGCAGGAAGCCAGCAGCAGCCGGGGCCAGGAGTCGCCTGCCTGCAGACCAGGCGGGGGTGGGAGGGGGTCACGAGCGCGGCTGCCTTTGCCCCACTGAAAAGTGAGGCGGACTTTCAGCCGAGATGGACTAGTTTCGTCATCAGGATTTTCTCTGGTAAAGAACATGTCTGAGCACGTTGGAGGCTGCCAGCAGCGGAAAGAGGGCCCTGTGAATCAGCAGGCAGCGCAGCCTACCTACCTCTGCGCTACCTCCCGTGCCCAATTCCTTCAGCAGGGAAGATTAGATAAAGCCAAAAAAATTCCTGGCTCACCCCTCATTAACGAGTCAGCTTATTCGTTGCCAGTTAAAGCTAAAAATAGAAATGGTGTAGGAGACAGAACTTATTAATTCCCTAGAAATACATTAAGAGTATAGAGTGATTTTTTTTTTGCTTGTTTGTTTTTTGCAATCTTGCATTTTTTAATAGACCTTGTTGCTCTGATACAAGCCTTTGGTATGTAGGTAGCTTATGTGTGGAGAGGTAAATGTGCTGGCATTTTAAATTTTAGTCTTGTCTTTTTTTTTGGGGGGGCTACTGTCATGATGGGGCAGCCTAATTATTTTGCTACTCCTGACAAGTACCTACTCCACCTTTGTGACAGGTGGCAATTCCAGGCAACTGCTGGGCAGCTCCCAATGTGTGTATAGCCTGGAAATATTTCACAGACTTGTTCCACTCCAGGCTCTGCCAGGATACAACTTTGGCAGAGCGAATGTGTGACTGATACTGTCTTGCAGAACTGAGCAGGTGGCATGCAAATGTGTGGGGCTCCGTGCCGGCTGCATGGCTTAGACTTCCCTGAGTATCATTTAATAACCCACTTACCAAAACTTTGTTTATTGTGCGTGTAACTTGTCTCGCAATGCCTTCCTACCAAGAATAGAATAGTTGATAGCAAATGCTGTGGCTTTGTTTTTGTTTGTTTGTGTGTTCTTTTTTTTAGTAGTAGTAGTAGTAGTACATTTATTTCTCCTAATTTGTTCCTAGAATCCACATTCATCGCAATGGAAGGATCCTGCCTTAAGCCAACTTATTTGTTTCTGTCGGGAAAGTCGCTACATGGATCAGTGGGTTCCAGTGATTAATCTCCCTGAACGGTGATGCCATCTGAATGAAAATAACTGAACCAAATTGCACTGAAGTTTTGAAATACCTTTGTAGTTACTCAAGCAGTTACTCCCTACACTGATGCAAGGATTACAGAAACTGATGGCAAGAGGCTGAGTGAGTTCAACTACATGTTCTGGGGGCCCGGAGATAGATGACTTTGCAGATGGAAAGTGCTGAAAAAGAAGAAGGAAGCTGTGTTGAAACAGAAATACAAATCAAAAGGAACACACATTACAAAGAATCACGCAGGAAGGAAAACGATGTATTAATTTAGGATGGTCGAGTTACGTTAAAATAAACCAAATATGCTTTGTTTAAAGTTTAAATGTACAGCAGTAAAACAAGAGCCCTCGAGGAAAAGGAAAGCCAAAAGGGTTAATCCTATTTTAAAACCATATTTTATTGTATTTTGATGAGATGTTAAATTCTCAACGTTTTATTATAAATTGTACTAAGTTATTTTATGACAGGAAAGGTTATTTATGTTATAAATTTTTTGAAATACAATACCTACAATAAACTGGTATGGAATAATTGCATCATTTCCTAATGCGTGCATTTGTTTCTTGTTAACTTTGATGTGATGAACATATTTGTCTGATGCTGTACCCCACTGGGTCAGGAGAGTCAGAAGAACGACAAAGAGGAGCTGGCTATTTAGGCAAAAAGAACAGCCAGAGAGTCGACTGGTAAAATCTGAATAAATAATTACAGGGCTATGCTATTGGTGCCACCATAAGACTGAATGCAGCATGTGGAGGCAGACAGGAGAGAAAGAACAAAGTCACCTGCAAGACAAGTTTTTACTGAGGAGTCTATTTGGGTCTCAGAAAGGGAGTTTCAATTCCCCAGCTGGAGGAAGGGAAGGCCTTTTGCTAGCAGCTGCACTAGTTCGTGCAAAGGTCATAAAGAGACCTGAAAGATCACAACTTGTTCAGGGAACTCGAACTAAGGCAATTCTGTACATAGCAAGATAAGCGGCTGGAAAGGGGAGTGGGGGTTAGGCTCCGACTCAAGGGCATTCTGTGTCACTCTTGTGCAACTGGGCTTTCTTCTGTGAGCTTGAGCAGTCAGCAGAGGCCTTCACCAAGGCCGAGTAGGAAGATGTTGCTGAACTGAGGGACTCTGGGTAACAAGGCCGATTAGGAAGGGGCTGAGTCCAAGGCTGAGCCTTCTGCAGCACCACGGAGAGACTGACTTTTTTGTGCATTGAATCCTGGAGCTTTGCCTCGTAGCTGACTGCTAGGGTGGAGGGGGAATCCTGGTTAAATGAGAAGACATGGCAGGGAAGAAAGAAGAAGAAGAAATGAAAGACCTTTGCAGTAGATAATTTTTCGGTTGGAACAGTCACTTGATAATTAACTGCAATAATCTTGTATGCGTAGCCAAAGAAAGCAGAAGTGTTCACTGAGGTACGGCTTAGAGTTTTACTCCACAGGGTATTTCTTCACCTACTTTCCAAGCAATACCCCTATGACTTGTCATCTGTTTGCCATCCTGGTTATGGAATATACAATCAGGAAAATCTAGAAACAAACCAACAGCAGCAAAATACTGCAAGCGTCTGCCTAGCTTGGGAGCAGCTATGAGTCCTTCACCTTGCAATTAAGGTTCTGTTTTTTTCACATCTGCTAAAAATTCAGAGTTTTAGGCCTTGTTTAGACCTGTGTCTTATTTAATCCTATGCCCAACCCACCCCTCCAAAAAAAACCCAGTACTTAATAATTGTGTGTATTTTTAAAATATTGTCAGAAGATTAAGAACAGTGAGGTTTTGAATAGCAGTATCTACTTTTCAACCAAAGTAAAGGTAGATGAGTTAAATCAGGCATGGGCAAGACTGGGAGTGGGGCAGCAGGGAAGCATTTTTATATGGTGGAAGAAGCTTGGGTAGTGACCAGTCTCCATTAATCTTCCAAGCTGTTTTCCTCCATTATAAAATAGTGATGATAAAATTATCTGTCTGACAGAATCATGACTTCTACAACTCCAGAACCTGCTAGAAGACAGGATTGACTATCTGGTTCAGGGCTATAGCCCTGTAGTTTGGACACATCCCGGCAAGCAGTACGTGCTGAATTAAAATGCATTGAATAAATGAATGATTAGAAGCAATGAATGCAAACTATCCTGCACATGACAGTTGCTCAGTAGAATGTGCTTGTCACTAAAACCCAAGTGACAGCAATGGAAAAACTTCCAAGGCCTCTGAGAAATGTGCTACTTACACCACATATGTTTAGTTGACAGTGGAGTTAATTGATAATGTTCAGATTGTTTTGTTTGAGGAAATCTCAGTCATTAACACATTGCTATTTTTGCCTTTGTTCTAAATTTATCTCTTATTCTTTCTTGATTGACCCTAACATAAAGTTAACATGGAAAATCCTATCAGTTTATTGTAACAAGTACAAAATAATTAGTGCTAAAATTCCTCATTATTGCTTTAAAAAAATTAAGCTTCTGACTGAAACTAGCTGGCAATGTTCCAGCAAGAACAAAAATCCCCTTTTCCACCTAGGGTGTGTTGCGTGCTGAAAAAGTGGAAAACACCTGTTTTTTCACTGGCAACTTAGCTCAGTGTCTCATAAAAAAAAAAAAAATTAACTCCTTCTGTAATTAACCAAGGTCCACAGTTAAAGAAAAGGATCCATAAGAACAGCTCTTCAGTAATATAAAGGGTCTTCAAAAATGCTCAGGGGAAATGTGTATGGTGGAAAAAAAAAAACAAGCTATGCTAGGGTTTGAATGTTGAATGTCTTGGGCACCAAACCTCTTCTAATTCTACATTTTGAAGTCCCCCTTTATATACATTATTTCCAAGATACAAATCAGTCATTTCTAGAAAAAAAAAATCTGTATATTTGCCACCTGGAAGCTTTTCCAAGGCAGGGTGTGAGATGCCTCGCCGTATTTTGGGGAAGTAATTGCTCCTTGATTTTTAGTCTAGGGGTTCAATTGACAGTCTCCCAACAGGGAGGTGTGTGGTTTCCATGTGAACACAACTCAGTGGCATGCTCTGACATCAAGCCAGTGTCCTTTAGATTGAGTCGAGTCTTATTTCTTTTCCAATGATCCTCAAATAAACAAAAGAATCTCTTTGAAAAGGCCACATTCAAGAAAACCACCAAGCACTTTGTGCTTACCAAGGAGCAGGAGCTCTAGGGATCTTACTGAAGTCTACCCAAAAAATTACACGTCCGCCCTGGCCTCAGGGAGCAGAGTCTACCAAAGCTGTAAGATATGCACGTTGCCACGGAGTTCAAAGCAGAAAATGCCCAGCACTGTAACTTAGGCCCAGACAACTTAGGGAAGTTCAAAGGAAAGAAGTGTTTGAAGAGCGCATAAAGATGGAGGAGAGACAAGGTTGTAAGCTCTTTGATCAGAAGCTAGTGTTGTATTTTGCAAACAGCACAAAGATGATTGATTGATTGGATATTGAGTATGATTCTGTAAGATGCTACAGAGACTGCAAAGATGTAACCTAAGGAAGTACTTGCCCGTAAGAACTTGAAAATTTGTAAAGAACCAAGACAAACATACTCTTTCCTTTAATGCTATTGATTGAATATCTGTCATGCACCTAATGTTGTGGTAGGTCCTGGGGCCTTCAATCCGCCTTTATGGAGGTACGCAGTTTTGTTGGAGATGCCTGCTCCAGGGAGGACTGGATGAGAAGTGATAACAGGGTACAGTGTCCTGGGTCAGGAGGTGATTGCCAGGTCAAGCGAGATTTGACAGATGGAAAGATATACCAGGGGACTATGACAAGCACTCGCCTCAGTAGAGGAGCTCAGCAGAGTGCAAGTTTAAGACCTGTTTTGGACTAGCCTCTGGGGAGTTACATAGGGCTTGCTTCATGCCAAACACTTTACAGCACTCCTGAGCATGCAGGGTCACTCTGTGCAAGAAGATACAATTACTCCTCCCATTTTGAAGGTGAGAAGGCTGATGGATTAATCATACTGTTATTAAGTAGCACAGGAGGCAGAATGGGTAACCAAGAGGGGATGCTGATAAGGAGCCAAAAGTGACTTTCCTGCAAGCCAAGATTTTTTCCCACTTGGTGACAGGAAGCCATTTTATTTAGATTAATTAACTAATTAATTAATTTGCACTTTATTTGAAAGGCAGAATCAGAGGACGGAAATGTTTCAGCGGTTCACTCTCCAAACGGCCACAAGGACCAGGGTTAGGCCAGTCCAGAGGTTGAGAAACACTACCCTCCCTCCAGGAGTTCTTGCTCTTAAAGATTCAGCAGAGTTGCTTTTTACACATCTTAGGGTCTGGGCAAAGGCAGAGGTTTCTACTGGATCAGTTCCAGCTTCGCTTGAAGCCTGTCCACCGAGAACTGGGAAATGCCCATTTCTCTACAAAGGTGTCACATTGGTAGGAAGAGGACCCACAAGCTCTCTGAGGACAGTTTACTGGTTACCTAGGGTAATCACTGCACTAGCTACGGGAGTCACCAAAGATAGGAGAGTCCACAGACAGAACAGCTTTTACCTAGGAACTGACCATTTCACAGATGCATCATCTGCCAGACAGCACGGCTGGACAACAAAGATGAGCTGATTAGCAAGTTAGAGAACTGGTGTTGTTATGCAAAGATACTTCTCAAAATCCAGCACCAGGGAGGTGCTGAGAACTGTGTGGGGCTCCCAGTTCTCTTACACCTACTATCCCTGGCTGACAAGGTGCTTTCGTATTTACTGCTTCATTTGATTACCCTCCCACCACCCCCAAAGCAACCCAGGCTCAGCAAGATCAAGAGATGTCTCCAAGGTGTACGGCAAGCAAGCCAGAGGCATCATCTCCCTGTGAGTTCAGCTGTCATTAGGAAGAGCCTGCTCTCAGAGAGGCCAACCAGACGGCAGAGGCTTGCCGGGGGCAAGATGAAACTAATTGAATCTAATCTTTTACTTATCCAGTAAGTGGGACAGAGCCTCAGGAAAACTACAGAGAGGAGAGAATTCTAAGAATTGTTCCCTTTCATCTCAAAACTGCAACACCAGGAAAGTGGTCTTTATGTCCCTTGTGCTTTTATGCCAATGTTTTTTTTCTTTTTCTTTTTCTAGAATTACCTGTCCAAGAACAAATGTATGTAGAGAAACAGATTTTCTTAGTATCATTCCTGACCCACCTTGGGCTCATTCTACAATCAGCGGAATAAATCACTCAGCAAGAAAAGGCTCACCTGGATAGGACTCTTTTGCTTTCATTTTGATTCTTTGTGTAACTTTGAAGGACAGGACTGGCAAAAGATGAAGAGGAGGAGTGCGGCAGTTAAAACAGCTTCCAGAGCCTCGAAGACCAGAGCTGGGATTAGGGATTCCAGCTAGACCTTGAGAAGTCAGGGAAACAAACATCTCAGCCTTGGTTGATTCCTCCTCTAATGTGGAGACACGTTTTCTATCATTGAGTTGCTGGGAAGATTAAAGGAAGCACGGCGCTGAAAGCAGCTGGCTCAGTTCCTGAAAGCTCTCAGCTACAGGTAGCCTCCTAACAATACTATCTCTCAAGAGCTGCATTTTC